ATCGTCTCGGTAATCTGTTTCTGGCGTACACGCTTTTGAAATGAGGACAGGTTTTTTTCAAGATGGAATGTATTTGAATGGTATTCATCATGCTCTGTAATCGAATAAAATCTGTCTGTTACGGTCGATTTCTATGACGGTGTCAAACTTTGTATACACTATGACGTTGACCGTCGCTGTTAAAATCTCGTGGAATAGAAGGTGTGGACTCATGTTTCAGGTTTTTATGGGATGAAATGTGCCCATCATCGACAGGTCGGGCGTGAGGTCGAATTCGAACAGGGTGTATCCTCTCCCGAATTCCTCTCGGGACACGTTGTTTCCCTTGTCGTGGTAAATGTTACCCGTGCTCGTATAAAGATTCATGTAGCTACGTACGTACTGACCGTTTTTGAAGTCCGTCTGTAATGGCTTGGCGGGAATTTGTTTCCCGTCCACATTCAGACACACGTAATCGACCTTGTGGTGTTTGAAATTGAAAGGATTTTTGGTGACGGTACCGTTAAACGCGTCCGTGTCGACCATGTCCTGGACGATCCTCTTGGGCATCTGTCCTATGAACAGTTTTTCCTTGGTAAAGTCCATGTTACCTCGAGGCACGGATGTCACTTTCATTTCTATCCTCCGTATCGGATACTTGGCGGGAGTTTTCCCCATGGCTCTTGCTTGAGCAAAGCGAACGGTCGGATTCAAACGCACTTTCCTTACGTACAGACTGATATCTTGCACGACCGCTTTAAACGTGTCGCCCACTGCATTGAGACAGAACGCGTCCTTACTGCGTGACATGTTTATTTCCACGTCGACGTTATTGACTAAGTACCGTTCCTGTGCAAACACGTCCGAATGGATTTCCCCCATCGAATCGACGGTGCGACTTCTTGCGGTCATCGCTTTCCTCGCGACGTATCCAAAGTTTTCGTCGCCCTGAGTGTCCATTTCACCTGTGGTGTCGTTGAACGACATGGAGCCTGTCAGTTGAGAGTCTTTAGCTGCGGGTCCGTAACTTAACAGGGTTTCGATGTACGCTCTGTCTGTTTCCTGTTTTCGCACTGTAGACAGAGTGTGGAACAAGGAGGTAAAACCGCTGTCGTCTTCGTCTTCGCTCCACGTTTCGGGTATGTTACGTAACTCGGGCGTGCGCTCGGGAGTTCTAACGGGTCTCCTAGTCGGCGTGGTGGGCGACAGCCCTTGCATTCTTGAGGTGTTCGTCTTATTACTTATCCATCTTTGGGGTACATTCGAGCGTTTGAGTGCACCCAGGAATTCTTCGAGACCCCTGGGAGCCACGTGTTTGAGTGAGGTCGGGCGTGCGACATTACCGACTAAGTCCACCAGATTCGATCCTGGAATCACGGACCTGCCTTTGTATCCGAATTGACATTTTCTATGTGGTCGACTTCGTTTGCGGATTCTAACTGAGGCTCGGGGGCCTCGGTAAGCGTCAGTGCCTTCGTAGTACTGCCCCTACCTAAGAATTATCTATAGCGATCGACATATTTCCTAAGTTGCTGATCGTATAACGTCGCTTTCTGGCTGTCCGCCATGTCCTGTCTACCTAAGGTCCTGTTCATTTCTCCGTCCAGGGCGTTCAGCGACATCACGGACGTCGAGACGGACGGTTTGGGTCTAGAGCGCACGTCGCGTCAAGACATGACCACGTAACGAATTCTCATTGAAATATCGAAGCCACCTTAGAAATGAGTCCCGGTAAGAACGTTACCGCCGACGGGGCTAAAAGAGCCGTGATAAATCCACCCTTTTGAATGATTTTCTTCTTTTAACTTATAGCTAGGTTTTTCTTCAGATCATTCTGAGTTCCGATTTATGTCGCTTAAGAGCCGAATGTTGTTTCCCCGTAATGTGTACGTTTCCTTGCAGGATGTTTTTGAGCATTCACAGATACAATTAATTAAATTTCTGTCCACTTTTTCTACGACCGCTTTTCTGACGCTAGGTTTAGCGCGGCACAATAACTCCAATTCTCTAGCATGTTTTGCTATGTTTGACGTAGCATACGTCATCCTAACATGAAAAATATTCCGATAATTTCTGAGAACTGACCGAAACTAGTATATTTATACCTTTTTCGGTTCTTTTACAAACGTTTAAACGGAATACACCTTTTGATATTCTCCCAGGAAAACGAACTAACGTAATCGAATCCGGCGTGCCTTGTTTCAAGTCGACGAGTAAATAGCCGTGAGGTTTAGACGTTGCTGTTGAATATGCTTCGTGTAATAGCGTACCTCCTCCCGGAAACATTTGCTGAGACAGACGTCTTATCTGCGACGAATCTCATGATGAATTTCATCAGCATGATGTTATGAGCGCTGATACGCATGTGTCTGTGATACTTCGTCTGGTGAAATAGATTCTGTACTACGTACATGACGCTTTTGTTACCGTGATGACTTTTCTTGGTAAACAGCGAAGCTACGGAATCGTCGGCTTCCATCATCAGATCGTCGATGATGACTAGGTGTTTGAGAGTCGGATCGAAACTCTTCAAGTCCGGAAGACCTTGTTCGAACTTGACGCCGTCTACGAACCCGTACGACGTCTGGTATTCTCCGTAACACCAGACGACGTTGTCCGGTTTAGGAGTCACAATGCGATCGAAGTTTGCCAGGAAGCGTTTCACGAACTCTGTTTTTCCACTTCCGGTAGGACCCGCGATGATGCACGTGAACGGATGTTTCCAGGGAAAGAAATGGGCCTCGTATGCGGGCGGGAAGAAATGTACTGGCGTAGACGTCAATTCGTACGGTAGATTATAGTCGTAGGAAACGACTAAAGTATTTCCGCTAATTGCGCGGGCGAACGCCGTATTTCGAGTCTAGGATTAGGTAGAAAAGAGTGTTCCTGTCACGTGTTTCCACATAGAATTTTGCAATGCGTACGATTTGGAACATGCCAGATACGCGTGAGGCATGACGACGGATTTTTTTTTCGCTTCTAACTAACGAATTTTTCAGGCCATCCCAACCATCTCACGAGGACTGGCGTTTTACCTTTTACCTTCTTCTTTTACAATATCTGTTCGATTTTCCACATGGTGTCTCTATTCGTGAAACGATCCCTGTATCGGTTCGCCGTCGAAATCTTAAACTTTATACACGGGAATGTCTCATCGATAATATCTGTCAGACACTACAAATATTTCTCTCGTCCATTTCTGCTGCCATCCTCGTCGAAACTGACGTCTTTTATAACTCAATCTCGCTTGATCTCCCTTTTTAAATTTATTTTTCCTCTTCGTGCGATGCCCGTACTGTTGAATAACTTATTCGCAAACTCTTTTCCGTGATCCGTTCTTATGATGTTTGGTTTTCGTTTGCCGAAAATAGTTTTAAAGCTTCTAACACCGTATTGGCTTTCTTGCTTTTCAGGGGTAGAACCCCAGCGTACCGCGAAAAATGATCTATGACAACGAGCATGAACCAACTGCCTTCGTTGTGTTCTTTGATGTCAGATACGTACGTCGGCCAAATCTGCGTCCCACATGTAGTCCACACTCACTAAAGGTGTTTCGGCTAACAGTGTCTTGTGTCGAACCTGTCATCGTACACTGTAGGGGTCTTGATTCTGCAACCAGTCGGTTATCTTTTGAAGACTGCTCTTGAATGTTATGTTTTTGGAACGAACGCATACACATTCGAAGGGCCCGAAAAACCGGCAACATCGTACCAGATCTTTGTCAGATAATCTTTTTGCTGTTTTGACAACATTTTCTCTCTCTCGCACGGTTAGTGAATGGAGAGTTTGACAACACCATAGGAATCTTATTGACTGCAGACTTAATGCATTTATAGAGTTTATTGCTTCCTTCAAGTTTTGTGACTAAAAATGAACCATAAGCCTTGTTATAAAAATTAACCAATCATAACACTTGTTATAAAAATAGCCAATCACAAACCTCGTTACAAAACGAACATTCCGATGATAGTAAGAAGGATTCTATACAAAAAAAATGACCGTGACGTCATCTAAAGCTTCCCGTACGACTCTGACAAGCTCAGACATTGACGACACACTCTTCACCACCGAATCACAAGACGAGCTTATGCAGTCTATCCAACTTCCTCCGCCAACAATAATTAATACAACATCAAGCAGACACGTACAGGAAGGAACGACAAAACATATCAAACGACAAGAAGCGCACTAGGAAACAACACGTGCAAGCGGCCAGTATTATTACACACTACCCTAAAAGTATATCGTCCAAAATAGAATCACTTACCTTACTCTTTTATTATACCGTTAGCTAATGTATTATTGTGAATTGTCTACGGTTAACTATTATTTTTAGCTCAAACATGGACGCAACACACCTGCTACAGTACCTTCCAGAGCACCGACACACTCACTTCCCACACGACAAAAAAGGTCATCTCAATTTAATACCACACTCGAAAACATTGTTAATATGCCGTGAATTTTATATCGTAAATAACGTATGTTGTAACTTTTTATTGTTTGTAAATATATTTTATGCATAAGATAATCAAGGAAAAATGAAAATACATAATTAAAAAAAGAGCAGAAAAAGATGAGAAAAGAAAAGAGAAAAAAACAACAACAACGAAACAGCGGCGAGAGAGCCCTGGAGAAAATACCTGAAATCAGAAGCAAAATGCTGTTAATTCCGTCATTAACATAAAATTGATGACGTCATACGCAATACACACACCCTATTGTAAACAGGGGGAGATAATTCCGTCTGTAACACTAAAATTGATGACGTCACACCCAAAACACACATGATGAGTTGATGAGGAGACAGGGCCGTAGGTTTAGAGGGTTGCTAAGGCGCCATCTTGGATCCAAGACGGCGGATTTTCTTAGCAACCCTACCCTGTATCCTCATCATATCAGACTCTTTTTTTTAAAAATCGGACAGCAACTAGAATTTAGGGAAAATGTCCGCTTTCAACTTAGATTTAAATAACAATGATACCAACATCACTGGAGGATTGAATTTGACCACTTATCAAAGAGAGAATCATTCAAACAAGTCCGTGTCTCTGATCACAATCTTCTCACAAAAACGCCTACAAAAATGCATGTCAAACGTTTCGCTAAATACAAATTTATTACAGAATTATAATTTGTATGTCCCTACAGTGAATTACTGATATAGGACTAGAAAATAATTAACTCAACTAGTCAAGCAGAAAGTAAGTGTCTAAACAGGATAGTCAAACCCAGTGTACATATCTGCTTATTCTTTATCATATCATAACTGTATATCGCTACCATAGGCAGCAGTGATAGTATATACACTTTCTATGATGTTACAATTCACTATATATGTTTCTTTTATTTTACAGTTGAGACGGAGAAAGCACAAGCTGATTCCCCTTACAACTGTCGTTGATGAGTTGAAGAAAAATTTAGAACTGGAAACGACCATGCGTGGTGACCTTTTAGAGACGATACGAATAATACGGGGAATTAAACGAGAAGAGTTTTACAGAGAAGATACGCCTGAAATATACGAGGAGGAAGAGAAGGAGGAGGAGGAGGTGGAGGAGGAAACGCCTGTTGAGGAGGAAGAGGTCAACGAAGAGATGAAATCTACACAGAAACCGAATTTGAAAGACGTTAAAGCGCGGGTTATCACTCGCTGGCCCAAAGGTCACCGCCATCATACTAAGGCCGTAAAGACTGACTGGTCCTTCCTTACCCATTATTCGGACGCCGAGCTCACGGTGGAGCTCGCCTACCTCCTCCCTGAATACATGCGGGACGTAGAGCGCCTACGGAAGGTACAAAGGATACGATGGAATTCAACGTCCACCTTTAAAACAAAACGAATTCAAAGAAATCTAGAATTCGAAAGTTGGAGAGAAGAAATGATGAGGATTGCGTACGATGAAGAATTCGGCAGAGGGAAATCAAAAATGTTTTCAGTTGTGCCATTACCAAAAATTAAAGAGACGAGCAGAAGTGTTAATACCTCTAGGTCCTCACGTGTTTCGCTCTCTGACAGGTCGGATGGTATTAAAAGTGATGACAACTTGAGTCCTCTTAGTCGAGAGAACATTGTCAACAGCATTTCAGCACCGCAGCAACAAATATCACCTTATAAGTATAATCCAATACAAAAATTACCACTACAGAAAGAACAAATGAAAAATCAGTTGGCGTCTAGGAATCGAAACAGTGTGCACAGCGGTCAAGATAAAACCATGTCGAAGATTTACAGACCAGTTGGTAGGAGAGCAATCGCACTGGCCAACAAGGCGACGAAAGCAAACACGACCTCTGACGGCAACGTTCAAAACGTAAAGACCGGCAACATTCGCAAGCAAAACCAAACTATTTTGACCGGAAGGAGTAATGGAATAAGTGCGAACGGAGGGAGAACTGAACCAAAAGACATCAACCTGCACTTCCAGTCAATCACGGGAGATAATTCTACAAGCCCAAACGCCACCTCGGCGTCCGACCAGCTCTCACAGGACAGTGATCAGCCAGGGGTCACCACTATCACAGTTCACTTTAACACCGACCAAATGGACAATCATACGTCAAGCCCAAACCGGACACACCAATTCAGCATACCATGTGGCGATACCGATCTTTACGAACAGGAATCCATTATACGCATCAATGTAAGTACAGTCAGATTAACATGTCATTAACAATCCCGTTAAGACGGAAGTAGTTCTTTTCTCATCTAGTCCACTTGATACAAAACCTAACCTTACTTGTAATAACGATCCGCTTCCTTTTGTCATTGTCACATTTGAGTGTTTCTCAGTAGTAACAGCAAATGGTATGAACATGTGCATCAAATTATTAAAACAGCTTCTTCTAAAGTCTTTGCATTAAAACAATTGAAATATAAAGTTAGTAAGGATACGTTAAATATTATGTATACATCTGTCATTAGACAAACTCTCGAATATGCTTCTTGTGTATGGGATGGTTGTTCTGTCAAACTGACAAATGCCTTGGAGAGGGTGAGTTAGAAGCAGCAAGAGTTTTATCGAGGCACTTTACTTTGAAATCGGATGGGTACCAACTAGTGGACAACTAATGCAACCACATTCTTTCACATTTTCCCTCACTCCTTCCTATTTTCCTTGCTGTTTTCGTGTCAAATAGTAGATTGTCTATGTATATATGCTGAACGTTTTGTTATCAAATGTTATATCTTTAGTTACTGTGTGTTGTATTTTCGTGAGAGGGCCTAGTAAGTTGTCAGAACTTGTGCCCAATCCCTTTGATTGTTTTCCCTTTTCCTCCTTTCTTTTCCATCTAGAATTTTTTAGCAGGAAATCAAGACCATTGATGACCGAGACATAAAGGGTTTTATCTTTGATATATTGCGTGGATTGTAATGAAGGGGTATATTGAATGCAATCGCCCGGTAATACAAATGGCTGTTGTGACTTGGATTCTGATTCGTCGAAATGGAGATATTGTGTGATTTCACTTAAAGGTATCATCGCATTAGTGACTATTGAAAATTCCGTTTTAAAATTGTACAAGATGGCTGTTATATCTTGCGTCTGATTGGTCGAAATTTAGATTTAGTCCGATTTCGCAAGTAATTTAAGTACTTTTGTTTTCCAATTTGACAAGGTGGTTCCCGTGACATGGCTTCTGATAGGTCAGTTTAGATATTGACAAATTCAGTTGTAGGTATATTATGACACCATGAACTCTACTCTAACTTCCGTTATCAGATTGGACAAGATGGCCACCGTGGCTTGACTTACAATTGACCGAAATAAAGACGTGGGTCGATAATTTTCCTCAAATACACCTTTTTTAATAAACATTGCCCATGAGACAAGAGAAAGATCATTGAACGCTAATGGAATTTTGCAAATAAAATAATGAACAGTTAATCATTGATTAGAGGTCGATATCAAAGGAACTCTCTTTTTGTTTGTGTCGACGCGGAACAATAAACAAAACAATCGATAGTTTGCTGTATATATATATCTCGCCCTATCAAGGTAATGGTAAGTAGGATCAGGTTGATAATTAAATTGGTTATGATTAGTTCTAATGTCACTAAATAGCCGTTGTTAGTAAACAGAAAGATGGCGACTCCTGATACTGCGTATTTCATTACTTATTGATAGGACCATACTACCAGCATTATCGATATGTACCACAGGACCATAATACCAGCATTATCGATATGTACAACAGGACAATAATACCGGCATTATCGATATGTACCACACGACCATAATACCGGCATTATCGATATGTACCTCAGGACCATAATACCGGCATTATCGATATGAACCATAGGACCATAATACCAGCATTATCGATATGTCCCACAGGACCATAATACCAGCATTATCGATATGTACAACAGGACAATAATACCGGCATTATCGATATGTACCACTGGACCATAATACCAGCATTATCGATATGTACCACAGGATCATAATACCGGCATTATCGATATGTACCACTGGACCATAATACCAGCATTATCGATATGTCCCACAGGACCATAATACCAGCATTATCGATATGTACAACAGGACCATTATACCAGCATTATCGATATGTACCACAGGACGATGACACCAGCACTTTCGATATGTACCAAAGGACCATAATACCAGCATTATAGATATGTACCACAGGACCATAATACCGGCATTATCGATATGTACCACAGGACAATAATACCGGAATTATAGATATGTACCACAGGACCATAATACCGGCATTATCGATATGTTCCACAGGACCATAATACCAGCATTATCGATAGGTACCACAGGACCATAATACCAGCATTATAGATATGTACCACAGGACCATAATACCGGCATTATCGATATGAACCATAGGACCATAATACCAGCATTATCGATAGGTACCACAGGACCATAATACCAGCATTATCGATATGTCCCACAGGACCATAATACCAGCATTATCGATATGTCCCACAGGACCATAATACCAGCATTATCGATATGTACAACAGGACAATAATACCGGCATTATCGATATGTACCACTGGACCATAATACCAGCATTATCGATATGTCCCACAGGACCATAATACCAGCATTATCGATAGGTACCACAGGACCATAATACCAGCATTATAGATATGTACCACAGGACCATAATACCGGCATTATCGATATGTACCACTGGACCATAATACCAGCATTATCGATATGTACCACACGACCATAATACCGGCATTATCGATATGTACCACACGACCATAATACCGGCATTATCGATATGTACCACTGGACCATAATACCAGCATTATCGATATGTACCACAGGACCCTAATATCATCATTATCGATATGTACCATAGGACCATAATACCATCATTATCGATATGTACCACAGGACCATTATACGAGCATTATCGATATGTACCACAGGACCATTATACCAGCATTATCGATATGTACCATAGGACCATCATACCAGCATTATCGATATGTACCACAGGACCATTATACCAGCATTATCGATATGTACCACAGGACCATGACACCAGCACTTTCGATATGTACCAAAGGACCATAATACCAGCATTATCGATATGTACCACAGGACCATAATACCGGCATTATCGATATGTACCACAGGACCATAATACCGGCATTATCGATATGTACCAAAGGACCATAATACCAGCATTATCGATATGTACCACAGGACCATAATACCGGCATTATCGATATGTACCACAGGACCATAATACCGGCATTATCGATATGTACCACATGAAGTTCCTGCCAACTAAACAGCATTCTTCCTTTTTGCATCCACTCTATTGGTCTTCTTCACTTTCATTACCTTCATTTCGTTCAGTTGCTTATAGGTTACTTAGTTATAGTTATAGTTATAGTTATTTTCCAGTACAGGAACAATATGTTCCTCTACACCGGACTCTATTATGCATGTAATATGTTTTCATGGTTTAAATATTAGAGTCCACTTCCATCTATGGTTGCCTTATAATTATAAAGTATTTCCTGATTTTTCCATATTTTGTCAAGTCTATTCTTGAAAGTGTTTATATTAGGTGCCGATACCACGTCCTCGGGAAGACCGTTCCACATTTTTAGTTTTAATACCAAAGCTGTACTTGCACCTAACACTTACTTGGTTTGGCTACTAACAGTACTTGTATTTTTTTTTATTGTTATTAAGACTTTGGTTATTTCTCTTCCTTTGAATAGTTCTCAAACCATGACCAGTGGTGTTAACCATAGGCTGCTTTAAAAAAATATGTTTGTGCAATAACCTTTTCTCTTTTTTTTTTTTTTTTTGCAGAGTCCAATAAATCGTGAGGATAATGTGACTAGGTTATTTGAAGACATTCAGGAATACAGGAGTAAGCACCCGACTGTGAATCATGTCAAGGTAGAACTACGTAGTAACGATGTAGCAGACATCGACTGGGTACGTCAGTATGTCGAGGACCAATCCCACAGCAGATATAAAGCCAAGCTATAGCATACAGACTCAGTGCGAGTTACGGTGTGGAATCAAGTCTGTGATAAACAAATGAGATGTATCTGACAATCCTGTTGGATAATTAATTTTTTGTTTACAATCAATAAGGCGGAGTAAAGGGTCAGTTACTGTTATGATGGACATGATGTAAAATATCAATGACAATGTATTGTCCCAATTGTGCTTCATGCCACAGGTATATTGCGTAACCTAGGAATGATTTATTTCCCCATTGTCAGCAACTTGTGCAATGAAACACAGGAACAATCCCAATGACAATAGTAGGATTTATAACGTACTGTGATTATCAGATTGAATGTGCTAATGTTTAACAGTTTATAAATAAAATATTCCTTCTTATTGATTGTTGAAAACAAATTATAGAAAGTGAATGAGTTATTGTTGCTATACATGTGATTCAGTGGTTTGATACGTCCTACCACCCAATCTGATTAATATATACTCTGGCTTAATCTGAAGGTACCCAACCTGAGTTACATATTTTTTTTGTAATACATGATTTTGTTCATTGTTTATATGCTACAAAGAAACGTGTGAAATAGCGGTTAAGATTATACTAGTATACGGAGCGGGCTTGAATATGACACTTTTGGAGAAACTGTTTTCCCCTTTGTCTTTCATTCCATCATTCCTAAAATGTGACATAAACAGTTACTCTTCAACATACCCTTTTCTATGTTTTAACGAGTCCCTTCCGGTGTCTAGGGGAATTGAAGTGTTGTTGATTTGTTTTAAACTTTCCTGCGGACATGTCATCTTCTTTCTGTTAGATGAATCTCCATAATCTGTTCAGGTCGTTACACGACTCGGATGATCTTGACTGCGGCAGAGTATACCGATGATTTTCTTCAAGTAGTTAGTATAAAAACTGGCAATATTTTGTTCTTCCTTAATCCAAAAGCACCAAGACTCATAAGGATAGACAGCACACAGCTCCGATATACCGTGAACGAGTCCTACCAAATTATCCATCTTGATATCAATGATTGTCTTTCGAACAATAATTTTGTTAGAAAGTCTGCTCTTGGTGTATGCATGCGCCCACCTTACGATCGTATGCCATCATATTGTATGAGAACGACAGACACGCAATTCGCAAATTACCCCATTCCCAATAGTATTGGTATCTGATTTGTCAGCATATTGTTGCACGAGATCGTTGTGTTATGTTCTCTCCATAGTCCAGCTAATTTAGCTGTATCTATTATTATTTTTTTGTCCGTGTTTCGTTCATCTTCATCATCAACTTCCATCTGGTTGATCTACCGTCTTTTGTAATTTTTATGATCAATTCTTCCATCTGTCGGTTGATAAGTACGATAAGCAAGACACATCATTATGTTTCGACTTGGACTTGGAAGCTCAACGAAAGGGAACGAAAATACATTTGAAATTACACAAAACTTTTTGGTGACATGTTTAAATTTCGCCGACATCCATTGAGCAGTATTATCTTCGGAGGCAGTTTGTGTGCAAGCTGCTTAAGACAGTTTCAAAGTCTAAGATGCCGATATGTATTTGCCATACACCATTACGTCCTCTCATAATGACATTCCCTGCTGTGACGCCTGTCTGGTCGTCACGTACCAACTGCCTCACAATGCAGTCCCTTCTTGTCGATATTGAAGATAGTACCATGGTTTCGAAATCAATTATATCACCACACATAACAATTATTGCAATCGTGGACATTTCTATTTGTTAAAAGATATTAAAAAAAAACTTGTGTCCATACATTCTTTTTATTTCTAACAAAAGGTTGTTTTTGAGAAATATCTGTCATTGATATTCACCAGGTAATATTGTTACCGGGACAAAAGCAACCCCTCTGATCACCACGTTTCGTTACAAAGTATACTTTGCCAGGATTCGACTAAATATGCATACATATAATATATACAATCTGCTTCTGTTCTTCTAGCGTATTGAACAAAACTTTCACCAAAAATGTTTTAGTCGAATCAACGAAAAAAAGTAAAATATTCAGAGAAATTTTCTCATCAACAGATTAAAAAATGTTTACTTAGAAGCAAATAGTCTTGGTGTTATAGGGGACTCATTAACCCTATTCAGGGGACTATGATAATCATGTGAACATCCGGATACACTTCTTATAACACCATATGTTGTCCAGGGTTACATCAACTGGAGCATTCAAGGACATCTCTAGAACATCGCTGAACCCTTCAGGGAGGTGCGAATTTAACATACCCAGAACATCACCGAGCCCTTTAGGGAGGTGTGATCCTAACATGCCAAGAACATCACTGAGCCCTTCAGGGAGGGGTGATTCTAACATACCCAGAACATCACCGAGCCCTTTAGGGAGGTGTGATCCAAACCTGCCAAGAACATCACTGAGCCCTTCAGGGAGGGGTGATTCTAACATACCCAGAACATCACCGAGCCCTTTAGGGAGGTGTGATCCTAACATGCCAAGAACATCACTGAGCCCTTCAGGGAGGGGTGATTCTGACATACCCAAAACATCACCGAGCCCTTCAGGGAGGTGTGATCCTAACATACCTAAAACATCGATGAGACCTTTAGGGAGGGATGATCCTAACATGCCCAGAACATCGCTGATCTCTTCAGGGAGGGGTGATCCTAACACAAGAGGCCCAATGGGCCTGAATCTCTCACCTGGTATTAATCTCACAAATAATCTTTAAAGTGGACTACAGGCAGAATATCAGTGTTTGACTCATAAGAACCTATTAAAAAAAATAAACATATGACGCCTATGACCTTGAATGTCGAACAAGGACATAAGGTTGAACAGAGCGTATAGTCATCCAACCAAGCATGCTTCTGGCAAAATATCATTACCCTGGACCTTTTGGTTATTCAGAACAAGTCATTTAAAGATTTAAACATATATTGACCACTGTGACCTTGCATATGGGCGAAGGTCATTCATGTGAAAAAAACTGGTAGTCCTTAATCCCAGCATGTTAATCGCCAAATATCATCACCCTTAGCCTTCAGCTTATTGAGAAGAGGTCGTTTAAAGGTTTTAAACATATTTGACCCCTGTGACCTTTAATATATGTTGAGGTCATTCGTTTGAATAAACTTGGTAGTCCTTCATCCTAGCATGCTACTGGCCAAATAGTATCATCCTAGGACTTTTGGTTATTGAAAAGATATTGTTTAAAGGTTTTAAACATTTTTGACCATTGTGGCCTTGAATAATTGTCAAGGTCATTCAGTTTAACAAACTTTGTCGCGCTTCATCCCAGCATGCTACAGGCCAAATATTATAACCCTCAGTCTCTTAGTTATTGAGAAGTAGTTTTAAAGTTTTAAAACATATTTGACCCCTGTGACCTTGAAAATGGGTGAAGGTTATTTGTTTGAACAAACTTGGAAGCTCTTCATCCCAGCATGCTACAGGCCAAATATTATAACCCTCAGTCTCTTAGTTATTGAGAAGGAGTTTTAAAGTTTTAAAACATATTTGACCCATGAGACCTTGGGTAAAGGTCATTTGTTTGAACAAACTTGGAAGCTCTTCATCCCAGCATGTTACTGGCCAAATATCATCATCCAAGGCCTTTTTGTTATTGAGAAGAAGTTGATTTTTAAAGGATTTAAACATATTTGACCCATGAGACCTTGGGTAAAGGTCATTTGTTTGAACAAACTTGGTAGATCACCGAGCCCTTCAGGGAGGTGTGATCCTAACCCAGCCAGAATATGACTGAGCCCTTCAGGGAAGGGTGATTCTAACATACTGAGACCATCACTAAAGCCTTCAGGGAGGTGTGATCCTAACATACCCAGAACATCACCGAGCCCTTCAGGGAGGTGTGATCCTCCCAGCATGTCACTGGCCAAATATCATAACCCTAGACCTCTTGGTAGTTCAGAAGAAGTTGTTTAAAGGATTAAATCATATTTGCAACATGCAACCTTGAAAATGGGCGCAGGTCATTTGTTTGAACAAACTTGGAAGCTCTTCATCCCAGCATGTTACTGGCCAAATATCAGCCAAGAACATCACTGAGCCCTTCAGGGAGGGGTGATCCTAAAACAAGAGGCCCAATGGGCCTGAATCTCTCACCTGGTATTAATCTCACAAATAATCTTTAAAGTGGACTACAGGCAGAATATCAGTGTTTGACTCATAAGAGCCTATTAAAAGATTTAAACATATATTGACCACTGTGACCTTGCATATGGGCGAAGGTCATTCATGTGAAAAAAACTGGTAGTCCTTAATCCCAGCATGTTAATCGCCAAATATCATCACCCTTAGCCTTTTAGTTACTGAGAAGAAGTTGTTGAAAGGTATTTAACATATTTGACACCTGTGACCTTGAAAGAAGGTCAAGATCATTTTCATTCTCAAACTTTGTTGGTCTCTATCCCAGGAAGCCACCAGCCAAATATATAGATTCTATACCTTTCAGTTCTTCAGAAGAAGTTGTTTAAAGGATTAAATCATATTTGCAACATGCAACCTTGAAAATGGGCGCAGGTCATTTGTTTGAACAAACTTGGAAGCTCTTCATCCCAGCATGCTACAGGCCCAATATCAGTACCCTGGGCCATTTGGTTATTGAGAAGTTGTTTGAAGGTTTTAAACATATCTGACCCATGTGACCTTGGATGTGAGGGAAGCTCATTCATTTGAACAAACTTGGTAGCTCTTCATCCCAGCATGTCACTGGCCAAATATCATCATCCAAGGCCTTTTTGTTATTGAGAAGAAGTTGTTTTTTAAAGGTTTTAAACATATTTGACCCATGTGACCTTGGGTAAAGGTCATTTGTTTTAACAAACTTGTGAGCTCTTCATCCCAGCATGTCACTGGCCAAATATCATCATCCTACGCCTCTTGGTTCTTCAGGAGATGTCGTTCAAAGATTTTAACATATTTGACCCCTGTGACCTTGGAAATGGGAGAAGGTCATTCATTTGAACAAACTTGGTAGCCCTTGATTCCAGACGGACGCTGGACGCCGGACGCCAGACGCCGCACCATGACGTTACCTCACTTGCCCTTCGGGCAGGTGAGCTAATAACAAGACCATTACTGAGCCCTTCAGGGAGGTGTGATCCTAATACAAGAGGCCCAAGAGGGCCTGTATCGCTCACCTGAATATTTAAGCAGTCATAGCAAATTATTCTCATTAAATATTATATTGCACTAAAACTATTTCCCTCGCAAACTTTGTTGGCTCCATCTGTTGAAACTACCAGCAAAATATTATTATAAGATTCTATGCTTTTTGATTCTTCTTCAGAAGTTGCTTGACATACTTTTCCCTGTGATCTTTTAAGTAGGTC